AAATTAGTAAAGCATTCCCTGTTTATTTTATTGGCAAATAGTAGCATAAAGTTGAGAATTTATGGATGTTAACTTTTTTTATTTTGAGAGAAAATAACGAAATATTTGCCAATCGTAATTTTATGTGTTTTGGCTGATGACATTTGATAGTTTTAACAAATCCAATGCAGGTGGTAATTTTATAATAATTCTTAAAATACTTCCCTCTTACACTTGACTGCCAGCTTCCCTGAAACTTGTTTCTGAGTCCATAGGTTTAGAATAAAAATATAATGCGTGTTGTCTTTCTTCCTTGTCAATCAAAACACAGTCTGCAGGAGTATCCTTACTTGAGGAAGTTTTTCTAGGGTACCTCAAAAGGCAGGTACTCTTGGCTTCCTGAGGGATGGATGTGTGGGCTTTATCTTCAAGTATTAGAGGTGTGGGGTCGGCCTCTGATATCCTTTCTGGATGGCTCTGAGGATCCACTGGTCAATTGTCCACATATGTTGGCAGATGACAGAAGGTAGCATGTTCCTGATGCCTGGGACAAATTATCAGTTGAGTCCCTGAATGTTGTTAATAAGGCCAACTCTCTTGTCAACTCAGCCTTTAGGTTGAAACCATAAAGTCATGCTTCCTGTGAATCCTCTATAAAGTGGTCCAGAGAGCCTGCAGCCTTATCTCTCCCATCCCTACCACAAATGGGAACAGCAAGTGCTGTCCATGCTCTGATGAAGTGATGGTGGCCGCTGGCGTCCTGGCCCATTACTTAGGCTCCATGCGTGATGTGACTTGGTTGGAGGTGTTGTGTCCTGATCCAAATGTCTATCTTGAGGCAAAATGAAGATCCTACATGATAGGCCTCTACCAAGGTCCCGAAACAGCTTTGTGGGAGTAGTATGCTGGGAGTAGTTATAAGTAAGCTCATCTGAGTCCCGACTCAAAGTCAGAAATCTTGCCAGCCACCAAAGCAAAGGAACCTTCACTGGGGGCCCAGTTTGCACCTTCAACATTTTCTTCTTCAGGTCATTCTTAATGACCAGTGTGTATTTTTCAAATGCAAAAAGCAAAGGAACATCTTCACACCATCTTAACAATCAGTGAATCACTATGAGGATCTTGAAGATTTCTGCAATAAGCACAATATTTAGTACTTGATGTGATTGCCAAAAGATTTACCCAAGATGAAAAATAGGAACTACCGTATATTACCATCTATAAGACGACCCCATGGATAAAACACCCCCAAACTTGACCCTTAAAATCAGCGTCAAAATGGTATGTTTCTTGCAAAAGTCGATCCCCCACAATGGGGTCCTAATCGCGGCAAACACAGACCACAGACAACTGGCAGTTACCAATAATTATAACTTTGGTCCACATTATTCAAAGAATTCACAATCATATATATTGCGTCTACTCACGGATCGAAACGAAGTGTAGTTAACAGAAAATGCATAATATATTTTGTTTCTCTAAATATCATATTTATTGTAGCAACAAACTGGCTTGCTTATTTTACCCCATTCAACAATCACGAACTGATTACCGCCTCGTTTTCCATTGACCGCTAGTTTACAGTAACATCGTTAAAAATGTGTGAATTTAAATGGCTTCCGTATTTAACCCCATTCCATGTGGGAACTAGTGGTGTTCCGATTAATTGAAATAATCGAAAATTGGTAGCAGTGACCAAACGACCAAGCAATCGATCACATTTTCTCATAATCGAACATAAAAGATTTTGGAACTACTGTTTTAGTCGTTGAAATACTTGACAATGGAACATATCTTAGAAGTTGTCAGGGCTTGAAAACGTGTTTAATTCTTACTCTTAGAATACTAACTTCACTAACTGAAAAGCCCCCCATGACTGAATATTTCTTGAATGAGTGAGTGAGTTTAGTTTTACGCCGCACTCAGCAATATTCCAGCTATATGGCGGCGGTCTGTAAATAATCGAGTCTGGACCAGACAATCCAGTGATCAACAGCATGAGCATCGATCTGCGCAATTGGGAACCGATGACATGTGTCAACCGGGAAACATGTGCACAGCTGATTGCCATTTCCAGCTCAGATACACATGGTAATCTTAATCCCTGCAAATAATACAATGCCCAGCAAAAACAACTTAGAACTTAAAAGGTAAAAAATCTTGTCTAGTGATGTTTAATTGCAAATTTGACGTCTCTACTGACAAAGTCGTCTTCTGTTGTTTGTTCACGCGAAGTGATACAATGTTTTCTTACCCCTGGAAAAAAGTTTGACGAATGCGTAACCCATGGATAAGACGACCCCCTTCTACAGACTGCCTTTTTTGGTCCTCAAAATTCAGCTTATAGACGGTAATATACGGTAGATAAACTTCAGAATTTACCAAGAAACAAGAAAACGTAAAAAAAACCAGTGTTTGCCACTAAAGTGGCAATGTCCCCCGCAACTAAAGAAGAATGAAATATTTATAACATATTTACTACTTTTTATTTTTAGGTCACATACAAGAAATCACTGGTGTCTGTATAATCATGAAGACATTGGGTACAACAGTTCATGAGATATCTCATTAACAAGAGTTTTTATAAGTGGTCAAAGTGCCGTGGTGACCTTGAAAATATGGTCAAATTCACCTGAATCAACTGGTGTCTGCGTAATTCCCCAGTGTAGGCTGTCACCCAATTTGAAGACATTGGGTACAATAGTTCATGAGATATCTCATTAACAAGAGTTTGATAAGTGGTCAAAGTGTTGTGATGACCTTGTGATCAAGGTCACCAAAATCAACTGGTGTCTGCCGGCGTAATCCCCCAGTGAAGGCTGTCACCAAATTTGATCACATTGGACACAACAGTTCATGAGATATTGCATCAACAAGCAGTTGACACTAAGGTGACATAATCCCCCGCCACATATTATCAAATCAAACTTAAAGAGTAATGAAAGTGAAGGTCGTAGTTTAAAATGAAGTGAAATGTCAACAGAAACATGACCAGTCAACCCCTCTTGACATTTTGCTCTGCTCTTAGCTGTTCAAACACACAAATATTTTCAAGACTCACTTTGACCTTGATTGACATGAATGTCATGGTGTATGAAATATGCAAAAAATAGTAATAGAGAAATTGCTAATCAAAAAAACATTCAATGAAGAAAATCCAGTGAACCCTTCTTGAGACATCTTGCTGACTGACAATCTTAACATACTGAAATCTTCAAAGTGTCGCTGTGACCTTGAAACGAAAGTGAAGGTCACCAAACTCGACTGGGCCCTGCACATTCCCTAGATGAAGTTTGGTGTCAAATATGAAGAAAATCAAGTGAACGGTTTTTGAGGTATCTTGCTGACAAACTTAACATGTAGGCTAACATGCTGAAATCTTCAAAGTGTTGTCGTGACCTTGAAAATTATAGGAAGATCACCAAAATCGTCTGGGCCCTGCATCTTCCATATGAAGCTTGGTGTCAAATATGAACAAGATCAAGAGAGTGGTTATTGAGATATCTCGCTGACAAGCTTAACATGCAGGTTAACATGCTGAAATCTTCAAAGTGTCGCTGTGACCTTGAAAATTTCGTGAAGGTCACCAAAATCAACTGGGCCCTGTGCCTTCCCTATATGAAGATTAATGATAAACATGAAGAAAATCCAGTGAATGGTTCTTGAGGTATCTTGCTGACAAGCATAACATGCAGACTAACATGCTGAAATCTTCAAAGTGTGGTCGTGACCTTGAAAAGGAAGGTCACCAAAATCAACTGGGCCCTGCGCCTTCCCTATATGAGGTGAGATGAGGTGAAATTGGGTTTATCGTTGTGCTTGAGAATATTTCACTCATATGACGACGTGCATGCGTGTGTATGTGCGGCTGCTTGTACTAGCCCAGACTTAAGCTGGTTTTATAGTGCTAGCCCACTGAGATACCATGCCGCAGTGAAGCATGAATATCCCACTCAGACACATTATACTGACTCCGAGCCGACCAGTCCTTGTTGTACCCATTAATGCCGAGCGCCAGGCAGGGACTAACAAGTACCATATTTTAACGTCTTTTGGTATGACGCGTTCGGGGATCGAACCCGCGACTTTCTGCTGTCCAGGCGAACGCTCTAACAAATACACCACGGAGGCGGTTGCCTTCCCTACATAAAGCTTGGTGTCAAATATGAAGAAAATCCAGTGAACGGTTCTTGGGATATCTCACTGACTGGTAAAATGTTAAAGTCCCCTGGTGACCTGGAAAAGAAGGTCAAGGTCACCAAAACTGACTGGGACCTTTCTTATACTGTGATGAACCTAGGTACCAAGTATGAAAAGAATCCAGTCAATGGTTCTTAAGATATTCCAATTCGTACGTACATACGTGCTGACGGAGTCTAATACTATATCCCCTGCTTTGCTCTAAACGCCCAGCGAGGGATTACAAGAGTTTGAAAAGTGGTCAAAGTGTCGCAGTGATCTTGAAGATAAGGTCAAGGTCACCAAAATTGAATGGTGTCTGCGTAATTCCCCAATGTAGGCTGTCACCAAATTTGAAGACATTGGGTACAACGGTTCATGAGATACTGCGTTAACAAGAATTGGGACGTACGTACGGACGCCGCTGAATACATAGTCCCCCGTTGCGGCAGGGGACAAAAACAAAAGAGAACAGAAAGAAACAAAAAAGAAGTGCTCATGTGTTCCAGAAGAAATTTTTTGAGATTCCCTAACACTTATGCAAGAGAAGATTACTCAAGTGGATTGCATTTTGGTCGACTACAAGGTTTCTAAAGTTTCAATTTTAATTCTAAATCTGAGGACTCAGAAAGAAGTTTCAGGAAGTCAGGCAATCAAGTGTTAGATGGACATATTCATAATAATATTTTATGTTACATTTAAAAAGCTGATAAGCATGCAGCACATAATTTACACAGTATACTCAGTATACAGTTATTAAAGAGCTATATCCGAGGTAGTGGCACACTGTAATAGGAGGTCCACAGTGGTTTTGAGGGGACTAAGGGACCTGGTGCACTCACTGTGTGTCCTTGGAATGTCTTGGTGGGTCTGTCAGAGCCAAGCCGACAGACATGAATGCACTGGTCTGTAGAACATGATGCGAAGCTGGTGTTGCTCTGCCAGTCTACATCTAATGCAGGAGCTGAAAGAACAAAGTTTTTGCTGGAAAGTAAACATACACATGTACAGATGGCAATTGCTCTCTTACAGATTTTCTATGCTGAAACAGTCTACTGAAAACTAACTATATTTTGAACTTTTGAACAGGGGTATCCATAATCAAATAAATGTCACAAACCTCACAGATCCCAGGACACAAACATGATGCTGTGAGGCAGTGATCATATCATGACAAAAGCATGTGAGATTTACTCTTTTCCTACAGGTAAATCAGTGTTAGGACCACTAACCTCCAGCTACTGCTCATAACTTTTAAGAAGTAAACTTGTATTTAGAAGAAAGATAACTGGATGACCTATCTGCTACATAGGATCTTCTGATCCACATCCACCTTGACAACAAGACCACACACATCCGTTTCATTTTAGATTATCAAAAGATAAACTTTAACATTTTGGGCTGTGTAAAGTATGAGTTGTCTCCCATGACTTGTGTGATACAGAGTTTCTTTACAACTATGTTTATACAGGACAGAACCACACATGTTCATATGCATCACAAAAAGCTTTTACCATTGTAGTATTGTTGATTTCTAGAGGCCAGGGTTTCAAAGAACTGATAAAATACATAGTGTGAATTTCAAGTCATTTTTTACATTCAAAGAGAAAACAAGATTGAGAGGTTTGTAGCAATAGCTGCCCCATTTAGACCCTATGATTACTGTACAAACACATACAGCAATGTCTCCATGGCTTCCATCCCCCACATGAAAGTGTGCAAACATAGAAACATACTCCGTTTAGACATGCTCATCCTTGTTCTTACCCGAGTGAAACGCAAACTGTTGAGTGCTGTTCCCTGAACTGGCATCCCAGATTATCGTTGTCTGAACAGAACAAAAAACATGTTAAAAAGGTCACATCACTATTCAACAGATACGTTTCACAGGAACAGCTTGATTAAACAGATATCCTCAGATTCTCAATATATTCTGTTACTTTGCTCAAGTCAAGTGTCCTTTAAGGGAATCTTGGTGATATGCAAGGCCTAAGTGTAACTCAAAAGGTATTTATATACTAATTATATGATGTTCCTACCTCCACACATTACCAACTACATGTTTCTCATCTACCTGCATTCCCTATTTGTCATGCCTGCCTTCACAAGCATGTATACTTCATACTACACAACACTTTCTTTCGGTGTTATGCCCACATCTACTGTACACAAAATATTCTTTGCCTGAAAACCAGAGTGTTCCAGATCTTAAAAACCTATTTTCGAGAAAATCAATCTTGAATTTTAGAACAACAATATTTTCAAAACTATCCGATCAAATTCTTTGGAAATTTGCACATACATGTGTTATATCAAAAAGACTTGCACATACTTAATGAAGTTCAGTTAAGAACTAGTTTAAGGCAGGACATTCAAGGAGTGAAGTGTGACGGTATAGGTGATACAAAGGGTGACACGAGAAGGTATAGGCCCTGCAAGTGGTGACACGAGAAGGTATAGGCCCTGCAAGGGGTGACATGAGAAGGTATAGGCCCAGCAAGAGCTGACATGAGAAGGTATAGGCCCTGCAAGTGGTGACATGAGAAGGTATAGGCCCAGCAAGAGCTGACACAAGAAGGTATAGGCCCTGCAAGTGGTGACACGAGAAGGTATAGGCCCTGCAAGGGGTGACATGAGAAGGTATAGGCCCAGCAAGTGGTGACATGAGAAGGTATAGGTCCTGCAAGTGGTGACATGAGAAGGTATAGGCCCAGCAAGAGCTGACATGAGAAGGTATAGGCCCTGCAAGTGGTGACACGAGAAGGTATAGGCCCTGCAAGTGGTGACATGAGAAGGTATAGGCCCTGCAAGAGCTGACATGAGAAGGTATAGGCCCTGCAAGTGGTGACATGAGAAGGTATAGGCCCTGCAAGTGGTGACATGAGAAGGTATAGGCCCTGCAAGTGGTGACATGAGAAGGTATAGGCCCAGCAAGAGCTGACATGAGAAGGTATAGGCCCTGCAAGTGGTGACATGAGAAGGTATAGGCCCAGCAAGAGCTGACATGAGAAGGTACATAGGCCCTGCAAGAGGTGACATGAGAAGGTATAGGCCCAGCAAGAGCTGACATGAGAAGGTATAGGCCCAGCAAGAGCTGACATGAGAAGGTATAGGCCCTGCAAGTGGTGACATGAGAAGGTATAGGCCCAGCAAGAGCTGACATGAGAAGGTATAGGCCCAGCAAGAGCTGACATGAGAAGGTATAGGCCCTGCAAGAGGGGTGACATGAGAAGGTATAGGCCCTGCAAGTGGTGACATGAGAAGGTATAGGCCCCTGCAAGGAGCTGACATGAGAAGGTATAGGCCCTGCAAGGGGTGACATGATAGGAAGGTATAGGCCCTGCAAGGGTGACATGAGAAGGTATAGGCCCTGCAAGTGGTGACATGAGAAGGTATAGGCCCTGCAAGGGATGACATGATAGGAAGGTATAGGCCCTGCAAGTGGTGACATGAGAAGGTATAGGCCCTGCAAGAGGTGACATGAGGAAGGTATAGGCCCTGCAAGAGGTGACATGATAGGAAGGTATAGGCCCTGCAAGGGGTGACATGACAGGAAGGTATAGGCCCTGCAAGGGGTGACATGAAAAGGTACAGGCCCTGCAAAGGCTGACATGAGAAGGCATTTGCATCATTAATAGTCCCCTTTCACAGGTATTTCAAGAATAAGCTCATTAATAGTCCCCTTAAACAGATAGACCTGGATTCAGCTAATTAATAGTCCCTTCAGATATCCAAGGATTTAACTCATTAACAGTAAAATGAAACAGGTATCACTGCATTAGGCCGGTTATCACTCACCTTATCTACACCTGCACTTAAAATGTAGTTCCCTCGCTTATTCCACTTGAGAGCGAAAATAGGTCCTTTATGCTGCCCTAATGTGTTTACTAAACGACCTGTAACACAACCAATTAACACTGACAAATCATGAAAACTTCTGATGTAACGGATGAATGAAAGCAAGGGGGGTAACTCTGCAAGTATTCCATATGGCCGACATGTGATTCAACAGGTATATCTAGAGTTAACTCCCATGTTCATTCACTCCGTTGAAGTTAGCAATGGGTAATGGTGGCAAAGAACGATTTGATATGCCATGGGTGGTGCTTACAATGTTGAATGATATATGTTATACGTGAGAAAATAAATATGAGGTTTGAAATCTGAGAGCACAACCCTGTCAGGAAATGGGTGTCTACCTTTCATGGTGGCCATAATATATTTTGACATTAAAAATATTTTCCGAACTGATGCAAGGGAAGTACGTTGCCAACTTTTCACTCGCTTATAGGAAGACTGGTAAATTTTGTGTGTTTCTCAAGACTATCTGCGCTACAGTTTGCCTGTGGTTAGAAACACTGTTTTTGCCCTAACCCACAACACTCAAAGGCCCCATTGTTAAATGAAAGTGTAATTTGTTTTTGTTAAACCATGTCACTCCATCACACTGTATCTCGTCAGATTGAACTGAAGTTCATAATACTGTATTCTAACAGCAGTTGGAAGTCAGGAATAACCCTCCACCATAAGCAGTGCTACTGAGTTGATATGTTCAGAGTCATTTGGAGTCAAGCGTAAGAATATTCTAGAGTGAGTGAGTGAGTCTAGTTTTACGCCACACTCTGCAATATTCCAGCTATATCGCGGCAGTCTGTAAATAAGAATATTCTAGAAGCAATTTAGACAAACTAAATGAGTAGGCATATGTAATTTTCATGACCACCTAAACAAGGTCATATTTTCGCCCAGGATATAATTTATACTTATCCTGAAGCTCATGTATTATTGCTTGTCTCTGATATCATATCCTTATAGCCAATGTACATTCACATCACTATATAGCCACTGGAATTATATTGCACAACGTTGAATAAAACTCTCCTTTTTTAGCATATAGATTGGTTTCCGAAGTTTCTATTTGGAAATCAAAAACAAAGACCATTTACAAAACCATAAACAATTTTTAGAAATGTAATTTTCTGAGTAAAATCACTTTTACTCACCACTCATGTTGTCTTGTCTCCTTCCTTTTGGCGTGGAAAATCTCCTTTTGGCGCCACTTCCAAAAAGCAGACGATCACTACTCACCACGAAGTTGTCTCACTCTCTTTGGCGGAATTGCAAGTCTTCCGACACTTAGATTTAGATTTGCTGGGAAATCCAAAGTGCCTAGCGGGGAGGTTGGGAGGGCTTACCTCATGAGTCAGGATAAGTATAAAATATCAATTTTACTCAGAAAATTACATATTTTTCCTTATCCTGACTCATGTATTATTGCTTGTAGAATCCTACGGATTTGGTGGTGGGTCAAGCCACTTCTGGATTCCAATTTGGTGATTTACGTCTTGCATACCCCCCTATGGGAACTTCCTGGTAGCACTTCAATTTACTGCTAGGCTCTGCTGCTGCTGTAACCCTTACTTCCAGCTTTCTCTGATGGGGGGACCACAATTGTCAACTTTCGGTCCTTGCTTCTGTTAACATTATATGTGGATTTTAGCAACTCCATCTCTTGATGCAAGCATCAAGTGGAGAAGCGATCCTTCTTATGTACGAGTACGTCCTTACAAGTACTGGGTCTTATCACTTATGCTAGTCTGTCTTAGACGTGCATATGGACTCTAAAGCTGTAACTCTCCTGAGTGTTGGCTTTTGCAAGTCATGTGATAAAAGGGCGAGACTTTGTCTCAGCGCCTCTGTGGAACTGTCAATTGTTGTGCTGCAACAAGGGGGCCGAAATGGTGAATGCCGGAGACGTCTTCAGTGGCGATGTCTCTCAGGTAGTGGTTGGCAAACACCATGTCCGATTTCCAGAAGCAGCCCTCCATTATCGTCGTGATAGAGCAGTTTCCATGTAGAGCGAGTGTTGACGCCAGAGCTCTAATTTCATGTGGATTGGAGGCTCTTGGAGGATCAAGTCCTGCTGCTTTGTAGGCCCGTAGAATGACAGTTCTCATCCATATTGATATTGTAGTGCGAGAGATCTCTGTCTGTGTCTCTGCCGATATAGGGATGAAAAGACGCTTGAATTTTCGTCTCCTGGTTCTAGACCTTTGTAGGTAGACTTTTAATGCTCTTACTGGGCACAAGGATAGGTCCTGTGTATCCTGTGGCCCAAGGACTGATGATAGTGCTGGGATGTGGAATTGTCTGTCCGGTTGACCTGGCAGTTGATTCTTTGCTATAAAGTCCCATCTCAGTCCCATATGCACGATGTTTCGATTTTCATCAAATCGTGTCCTTTCAAAGTCTAGAGCATGTATTTCCGACATCCTTGCTGCTGTTGCTAAGGCAATCAGGAACAGAGTTTTCTGTGTCAAGAACTCAAAAGATGTCCTATCTAATGGTTCATAAGCGTCACTGGTGAGATGCCGTAGAACTATGTTGAGGTCCCAAGCCGGAGCTTTAAATCTCTGTTGTTGGTCCTCCAGTTTAAAAGAGCGTAGTAAGGCCAGTAACTCTGGTACCTTAGTCAGTTTTACACTCGTCCTCATAGTGATAACTGAGCTCAATGCCACTAGGTATGTTGAGAGTGTTGACCCTTTTAACCGCTTCTTTGTTTTAGGTGACAAAGATAGTCCGCCACTTGAGGGTGTGTCGCTTTCATGGCTGTGAAGCCTGTTTTCAAAGCGTAGGTCTCAAAGCTTCGCCACTTGTCGCCGCATAAGTTGCGTGTTGACTTAATGTAAAGCTAGCGTGACAGCTTTAGCTGCCCTGGCGGAATATCCTCTCTTATTCAAGCACGCCTTGATACGGTCCATCCGTGTAGGCGAACACTTTGGGGTTGCCGTGTGCCTGCTTTGTATGTGGATGTACTAGCAAGTTCGGCCCACTCTGGTAGTTGCAGTTGAGGCCGTCCTAGTTCTTGTATGAGAATGGGGAACCATATTCTCGCTGGCCAGTAAGGCGCGATCAAAATCAGTTGCAGGTTCCTCGTCTGCATGATTTTCTGCAACACTTTAGGGTCCTTAGAGCTGGTGGAGCTGGTGGCAGGACGCCGTAAGCCGCTTAGTCCTTCCCTAAGAGATGCTTAGAGCATCTGTTGCCCATGCTCGTGGATCTGGTATTGGAGAGACGAATGTTACCAGTTGATTGTTGAATCTTGTGGCAAACAAGTCTATTAGTGGCGCTCCTATCTCTTGTATGATCTGTTTGAAGATTTCTGGATGTAGCATCCATTCTGTTGGGGATGGCTGAATTGGACGAGATAGTGCGTCTGCTATCACATTCTTGGCTCCTGGAATGTGGCATGCTTTTATGTGGATGTTCAGATTGTCTGTTATGCTGAACAGATGAAAGCAAAGGTTCAGAAGGTTCGCCGACCTTGTTGATCCTTGTTTGTTTATGTAGAACGCCACTGTGGAGTTGTCCGTGTGTACCGTTAGATGAGCATTCTTTAGAATGCTGGTCCAGTGGGGTATGGCGTTTATCACTGCTTTCATTTCTAGCATGTTGATATGCAGATCTTTCTCTTGTAACGTCCATTTCACAGCTGACACTTCGTTGTCGAGGTGTGCTCCCCATCCTTGGAGAGATGCGTCCACATAGAGATGCGTTTTGCACTCCGGCTCTGCTAAGTAGGTGCCTCCTCTGAGTCCACCATAGTAGATATGGTTTTAGTCTGTCCGGGAGTCCGGATCGTCCAGATGTGCAATTACGAAGACCTGTAGTGGGCGTAGTTGTAATCTCCCTCTGCGCGTCATATCCTGTGCTGATGTGAGGAGACCCGACAGACTCTGCCACTGTCGGAGTGGCCACGGAGAGAGTAGAGCTTGTGATACCATCTGTTGTATCTTTAGCCAACGGTCCTCTGGTACTGTTATGCGTTTTTTTGTTGTGATGAGTCGAATTGCTAGGAACTGCAGGTCCTGTGTAGGCTCTAGTTCCGACTTGAGGACTGAGTAGACTCTGCCAACTTCGTAGTAATAACGGAGAGAGCAGTGCTTGAGATACAATGGCTTGTATCTAGATCCAACGATCGTGAAACCCTTGCCATGTCCGTAAGGGAAACGAAGCAATGTCCGACTCTGTGACTGCCATCGTTGTGAAGTCTATATAAAGTAGACTGGCTGCCGTAACCAAAAGTCCGTCAAACGTATGTTGCTGCAATTCGCCTGATGAACCGTCTTTAATGCTGACAGGGAAGGTGTCTAACCCCGTGAAGACAGCCGAATCACGTAGTTCCCGTCTAACTGGACTGTAATTGAGGCCTTCCTCCCACGTTGAAAGGTTGTTGTCACTTGTAAACAATTCCCTGACATCTGAACTACGTCCGACTTCTGCGCAGGGCGCGTTGTCTCATGGACCAATCAAAATGAAGCATTTTGATTCCTTTAGCTTCCCGCGATGTGACGCACCGTGTAGCAGAAAAAAAGGTCCTTGTAGAATCTTGTGCAGTCGTTGATATCTCATCAACACTCGGTCTTGTCCGTAGCCTTCTGGAGTTATACGAGTGACCACGTGTATAGAGGGTTTCATGGTAAACGCGCGAAAGATTTCACCGCGTAATACCGATGTAGGTAGGCTGTTTTCCTGGCTGCTGTGACTGTTACTTCAGACCTGAAGATAAGGCAGTCGTCCTTTTATACAGATGATCAGCTGAATTCTACACCTCCTCAGCGCTGCCACTTGTAGACTGCATTCATCGATCTCAATGAAGCGTCGTAAAATACCCTCTTTGTGTTGAAACACACAGGTTCTTGTAGAGTTGATGCTCAACTTTGTTGTAAGTTCTACAAAGGGAGTCATTGATGATTTTGTAGTTTACATCAATCTCTGGAGCCTTTATGCAGGGTCCCATGTAAAGTAGCAGGAATTCCCAAGCTTGGACGTTGGGAATATGTTGACTTTGTAACTTCATAGCCTTAGCAAGGCTGTGCTGAACCACGCCAATGTGAATACCTGAAGATCTGTACGCAAGTGAAGATCTCTATTTGGACATGAGTCCCGTTATTATCTTCTGATGTAGATATATCTATCTAAAATTTCTCAACGATGTGAATCCTGTCCTGGATTCAATCTGAAGATCTGCGCTGGTGATGAATTCGGACAAGAGTACAAGAGTACCCCTCTTGAACTTCGACATGTATCCCTCTGTCTTTGCGCAGGCGAAGATCTCTTCCTCCATGCTGAAGAGTTCCTTCGTATAGGCTCAGAACGAAGATCAAGGTCTGAGGGTGAAGTGGGATGGTCCAAAGACGTCTATATTAATCGTCGAAACTGCAGAGCATGACTGTCAAGTGCGTGATCCTTCACACATTTCTTCATGCCGATTACCTCCCGCAGCTTCGTCCTTTAGGCTTGCACGAACCGTCCATTAGGTCCGTCATTTGCTGCATAAAAATACACGACTGCAGATGTAGTGACGCATCTGAGAGTGTTGCAGCTTTTTGCGTTGAACTGTGGGATATTTGGAGACTTGAACTTTGTTGCCTTCCTGAAGGCTGCGTCAAGGTCCTCAGGTACGTCCGAGACCGGGTCAGTTGGAGGTAGGGTGATTGTGACTACATCATCGTCCTTCATTAGGTACGTGAATGCTTCATTCTTTTGTTTAGATGCTAGGTCCAGTCCATTAGCCATCCAATATTTTATTTCTCAGTCCGAAAATATGATTCCGCCATCGTCCTCTGTATCATGTCCAGTTGGATATGATCGTTGAGTATCCTCCCTGCATGGAGATCTGCATGGCAATCTGTGTGGAGATGCGTACGTAGAACTATGTGTAGTTCTAAGAGGAGATCTGTATGGCAACCCGCGCGGAGGTGAGCCGCCTACGCGTCCGGGTTGCCTTCGCGAAGGCAATATATTCCTATGTGGTAAATCCCGTGACGACCTGCATGGTGATGGTGACATTCTTGATGATCTATCTGACGACCTTCGCGCAGGTGAGAGATTTTTTATTGAGGGTCTGAGTCCTGAGACGTCTCTCTGTATCTTCTTGGAGGTGTAAGCCTCTCTGTGATGTAGGTAGCCTGCGCGAAGGCTCTTCATTAGCTTCATCATCATGACCATCTATTTTGGTTGGATGAATGTCCCTTCCTTCGCGCAGGTTCGTTGACGTCGTGCAGGGTAGGTCTGCTCTTAGTCCTAGAGCTAGAACCTCTTATAGATATCTCAGATGAACCACCGGTGCGGGGTCCTTCGTGCAGCACTGGTCCTGACTTGAGCATGAGAGGCGACTGCCTGACCATCATGCAAGGTCCTTTCCTGCGCGAAGCGCTTCTCCATCAGGTCCATCATCTGTTGGGAGAATTGCTGCATGAAGGTCCCGGGGTTGAATGTCTGCGACAACTGTAGATATGACGCATCTGAGAGGGTAGCGATATGGTCTAGGGATCGCTGTACCTCATGGGTCCCTGCTGCCAGTGTAGAAGGTAACTCAGACTGTGCTGACGTTACCGTTGCTGAGGCCTGCGTCTTCTTCTTATGCAGTATCTCTGGGATGAGGATAGGCTCTTCTACGTACAAGCCTATTTCTTCCATCGGGACGATCTCAGCAGAGAAGGTCCTTGTAGTCTGTGAAGAGCTCCCAGTAGAGGTGTAAGGGTGTAAGGCTTCTTCTGCGACGAAGATGGCCTGTTCTTCTTCGTATGGGTTGAGGAGTTGTCCGACGTAGAAGATCTTATCTTCGACGTAATGGCGGACTTCATCCCACACTGACATCTTCTGAAGACGCCCCTCGGCAGGTCACTGGATGGAAGTATGTCGTCTGACAACGACAGACAGCTCTTAAGGGACTCAGCCGGTTTAGCCATGACTTGTAACAGCCGCCTGGATTTATCCTTAGCACGTTTCTAAGTACAGAGAAATAATAATTATTAAATTCAATTTTTGTTAATTGCTGACATAATTTACAGCGAGAGCTGGAAGTACATATTGTGGTGCAACTGGGGCACAATAAATGCGGGTCTGCAGCAGAGAACCTAAACCTACAATGAAAACAGGTTTTCATGAAATGTAAACAAACTGAACAATCACGTGAAACCGTGAATAAACAGTCAAATTTGCTAATAAATTTCAAACCATATTGTAGAAGGATACATCCTGAAACCTTATAAAGGTAACTTATAGGGAAATAACTAAGTTAGCAAAGGATATAGTGCCGTGTTGGAGACACAGGTGCTCTCCCAACCGTCCACCAGGGCGAAGAAGGAGAGAGTGAGGAGTGGGAAGACGGGTGGCTCTGTTTCCCGCCAAAACGGAGAGGGAGACAACTCGTGGTGAGTAGTGATTTTACGTCTGCTTTTTGGAAGGGAGCTTCAAAAAGGAGATACAAGTGTTCCACTGACGTTCGCGGAAGGAAGGAGACAAGCAATAATACATGAGTCAGGATAAGGAAAAATTATGCGTCATAATGTTTCCCTTCCTAGAAATTACTATTAGATTTTCACAAATCAAAGTGTCTCCATTGCCAACTTACCGTCTGTACTCCATATTCTCGCATAACCATCATATGACCCTGTAGCCAGTAATGTACCATCACACTGAAACATCAACAAATACATAAGTAATGTATCCACACAAACAAACAATCATCTATTCAATATTGAAACATTGAAATAAGTCATGTGGTTTTGGGAGAAAATGACTTCCCCATGGGACTTTCTTTCTTAGTTCAGTGTCCTTTTCAACAACACAAATAAGCATAAGTTTTCTTTGTATACATAGTGACTCAAATTTAACCAGAAGTCTCCAATTCATACACAAAATCATAGACCTTTTTCCCTGTTTGTGACAGAGAGAGCAGTTTACCCCTTGTGAGTAAGACCAAGAGTTGTTTCCCTTTGTGACTAATACAGAGTAGCAGCACATGTTGACAGCCTGTTGTCGGAAGCCATACTAACATTCCAGTCCAGAGACGTGACATCCTTATTACTGGGGACTTCAGTCCCCCCTTTCTGTATACAGTGTCTCAGCACCAGCTGGTTGGCGTTGCTGCTGTTGTCGTTCATGTTCCAGATGCGAGCTGTCGAGTCACCAGACCTGCACACATCACAATATATTTCACACTCTTCAAAAGCACTCTCAAAATACTGACTAAAACAGCACTACCATGTATGTTTTGAATGTAACACACTATATTTCGATTACATATTCATCGTAAAGTACAGATCCTTGTACTTTTGTTGGGTTGAGTCCCATCTGGGATTTGAATCCACACTCTCCCAGTCAGGCACCCAATATTGCGAGCATACAGAGTCAGCCACTGCGGCTTCCACAAAAATGGAAGTTAGACAACCAGTACTTTGTGTACCCCCCTGATGATAAGTGTAACTTGATATGTCTCCCATGGCTGAAAGCTATGAATACACAATGACACTTAGGAAGTGGTCACAAGTAACACATTATATTTGGGATTACACTCTGTGTGAAGTTCCAGGTTAGAATTGGTCTTCAGCAACCCATGTTTGTCGTAAGAGGATTAACAGGATTGGGTGGTCAGGCTCGCTGACGTGGTTGACACGCCATTGCATCCCAACTGCGTAGATTGCTAATCATGCAATTGATGACTGGATTGTCTGGTCCAGACTGGATTATTAACAGCCAGCTGCCATATACAGTCAACTCTCATTAATCCGACACTTGTGGTTGCAGAGAAATATGTCGGATTAACGGAAATGTCGGATTACTGAAAATGTCGGATTAATGTATTTGTGTGAAAATATCAATGTTCACTAAATGTCATGATCGTCATACTGTTGCATGCATATCAGAAATGGTAGATCTAGTTATCTTCATCGTACGTAAAAATATTCACAGAAATAAAAAATACTAACAATACATACTTGTTATCATTTATTAACAGTCATAGATGGCATAACATACATATATAATCACGTAGTTTAACAGTTTCATATCTATTTCATGACCACATTGGCACAAAACTCACGCTTGTTTTACCGCGATATCAGCTGCCATTATGACCGGATGTTGAATATGTTACAGTTTCCATACAACTAATTCCATAATAACATGTGGACGTCTAATGTACAATCAGGCGTTTATCATAACATATATAATTTATAACTTGAAAAAGTCTTTGATGGCCATTAACATCAAACACGTCTAAGTGGTGTGTCAGAAATGTTTGCAAAGTGTTCAACGATGTTTTGGCCTCAGATAGCTTGAAGCATTGGAATCAGTCGTAGAGACGCTCAACCACTAAGCAGACTGCTTCAGGAGGTCAGATACGGTTGATCGTCCAATCTTCACATCAAATTTCTGCTCAGCAAAAGTGATGACTTCTTGTTGTGTTGTCTGGGGTTTGTCTTTCTTCAAAAGGAGATTTCTTTCTTGATCAATGGCGTAACTTCTACAAGGGGTCGCTTAGCAGGTGGTGAACATCTTGCGATGAAAACTCATTTCGGTTGTAAACATTTTATACAGCTCGCTCTACTGTTATTTCTTGATTAAATCGTCTCAATTAATTATCCTGTGTTCCTAATTAACAAGTGTGATGTTCACTGACGTCGGTGTCAAGCAGCCAGTAAGGCAAACGCTAATTACCACTCACGTGTGATTGTTTGTATACGGTCGGATCATCGGACCGGCTGCGTTGATTGTCGGATAAACGAATGTTTTTACAATGTATTTACAATAATCAGTTGCTAGATTGGTGTGTCGGAGTCGGAATGCGAGAATGTCGGATTAACGAGAGTAATTATCACTGTTTTAAATGGTTCCCTAATTTTTTGTCGGATTAACGTGATTGTCGGATTAATGAGTGTCGGATTAACCAGAGCTGACTGTAGCTGGAATACTGCCGAGTGCTGCCTGCAACAACACCCCAACCAAGTGACCCAAATCACCAGGCGATTTGGTGCCTGACTCTGAGAGTGGATTTCAATTCCGGATCGGACTCAACCCAACTTTACTGAGAACATGTGCTACATTTGACCACTTTCTAAATGGCAGTGTGTATTCAAACATTGTGAATGTAACAAAAGAGTTTCTTTTCACTTCAATTACCACTGACCAGTGATCAAAGTAGGGATATATCTGAATAACTGCGTTTTTTTCATTAGTCAGTTGCATCAGTCAACTTACCCTGAAGCCAAGAGATCATTGGTTGGGTTCCAGGCACAGATGAATACCTCAGACTCATGGCCGCGAAGCACTGTGGCCCGGTTGCCAGGGATCTCCACAGCTCCATCAACCTCCATTGTGTCTGTGTGGTTTGCTGAAAACAGATTGAAGTGAATCAGTTGCAGAAATTAACCGTCTATCCAAGCCGTCCATTTAGCATTATGTTTTTTTTAAAAAAAACATTAGGACACTCTCACAAACTTCTGTTTTCTGATTAGATGATGACAAAACGTTGCATTATTTTGCTGAATGATGTCACTGATTTCGTACTGTTTTTCAGTTTTCTGTATGTCAATGATTAAATTAAGAGATGATTGCGGACATTGTGCATCAATTTCTAAGGACTGGCTTCAATATGTTTGAGGTTAAGGAGTTATAAATGTAAAAAATGGCATGCACTCTTTCGAAAAGTTCTCAAATAAGCTTTACACAGTACACTTGTCACAATAATACCTCCATAATGAAGCAGTTTCTTCACACAAAATCAAAGTCTCTCGGGGCTACCAATAGAATCACTTTTCTTAAACACAGTGTACCCTCAGTTGTTGACTCAGTGTCTTGCATGTAGTTTTCTAGAAGATTCACAATACATCATTTGTCTGTTCGTAAAGCCTGCAACGTTTTTGTTTGGCAGGATTGGTTCCAATAATCAATCAAGTAGGGTTGGGTACCATGAAAATTTCAGTACCACGGTATACCAAGGTTTCTGTTCAAGTACCACGGTATTTACTGTGGTATACCATGCTGCAGTAACTGCGAATCTGATTGTTTAATGATTTTGATTGAACTGGACCATGAAGTAATGTCATTACTATAATAAATAAGTACGACTTATACCAAAGTGTTTTAGACTTTATCGTTTTATTTTGTGACTTTGTCATATCAGTTGTATAAATTTGACGTGCCATCGCCCTTGCACTTTACTTGAACAGTCCAAAGCTTGCAAACAGCAATATGCCCATCTATTTTGCCGATAGATCTCCTTTGAGTACAAAATTCTGCCATATATTGGCTCTTGCGTTCTTATTTGGCACAAGTTCGTGGTCAGTGTCTGCCAATTTTTAACCTAGCAATTTGTAGCAACATGCTTCGTTAAACTATTCACATATTAAACATCATCTGGATAATTGGCCTTTTGACCACACATGCACCGTTAGCGCAGTACTTTTCGCTCGAGTAATTTCTGCATTCAATCTACATTGGATAGCAGCATTTTAAAGAAACCATATAAAGCAAAACTAGGGCGATCACAAATTTTGCTAACAAATATCTTTGTGAAGAGAAAGTAGTAGAACCCAGTTTTCTGCAACCTTCGGTTATTTCCCTATAACAGTGGGTTTCTGCTCACAAACAGGAGACAACAGCTGGAAACACCTCTGCGTCTGCCTCTTTATTTGTATGTTTCTTTGATGTTAGGAATTGCTTCAAAGCTCTGAACAGCAATAATATTACATTAGCCTTGGCAGAAGTTTTGTTGGATACAAATTGGTTGCTAATGACGTTGTTTTTGCCATAATCAGCTATAAGGATTGTGACCATTCAAACGTAAGCATGTGACCTAAGGGCACCAATAGCATTACAACAATGGAAACCATCCTCATGTTCAATGACTTTCAGACTTTGATGAAAGTGTTCGGTTAAATTGTGTTATTGTGGACATTTTGAGTAGGAAATGGATACCTATACTTAAACTTTAAAACTTTGTGGATGTGTTGTACTAGGTGACTGTGACAATATTTCTCAAGCATACTTTGGTATTAAACATCATTACCTAGTGTCCAGACAAGAGTCAAGATGTCACTTAAGTTACATAACATGATTACATGCAAAATGGACATGTAACTTAGATGTCTAGAATTTAATTAATCCTTGATTAAATTCATTTAAAGATCTGCTTCAAACACTTTTATTTTGAACCTGGACATTTTATACGTGGACCCATTGCAGAAGTGTCAAAGAACATTTTGTTTAGTAACATTAAATATGTTGGTAATATATGGGTAATAAATTCAAGTGTGAGTTTTCAGATGTTGCAAAAAAGTGATAGATTTAATAAGCGAATCATAAGACAGCTATGTTCTTAAAATTCTACATCATTGTGAAGAGAATGTGTCTAAGGACTGGTTTACCAACGAAATTGAGGACTGAACACTGAGGGAGGCCATTGTTTGAGACATCTCCAAGTGACTACCACAAGAAGTTTACATTTTGCAAACGGCATAATTTGTGCGCCAACTATCATAGTTAATAAGAGATACCATTCAGCAATCAGGCGCCATCTGAGCAGGTCACTGAACATGTTCCAGCAGACAGGAGCCATCTGAGAAGGTCATTGAACATGTTCCAGCAGACAGGAGCCATCTGGGCACGTCATTGAACATGTTCGAACAGGTCATTGAACATGTTCAGGACAACTGCATAGACTATACAGGCTTTGTAACTGGGACCACTCACTAATTTCTCAATGATCACATAATATACTCAACTGAAGGTGAACATTCCATCCTTCCTGTAGATACAACACAATGGTGTGTACTGACCATGTATCTGAGACAACACAGCCTTCCTGTAGGTACAACACAATGGTGTGTACTGACCATGTATCTGGGACAACACACCCTCCCTGTAGGTACAACACAATGGTGTGTACTGACCATGTATCTGGGACAACACACCCTTCCTGTAGGTACAACACAATGGTGTGTACTGGCCATGTATCTGGGACAACACACCCTTCCTGTAGGTACAACACAATGGTGTGTACTGACCAAGTATCTGGGACAACACACCCTCCCTGTAGGTACAACACAATGGTGTGTACTGACCATGTATCTGGGACAACGAACCCTTCCTGTAGGTACAACACAATGGTGTGTACTGACCATGTATCTGGGACAACACATCCTTCCTGTAGGTACAACACAATGGTGTGTACTGACCATGTATCTGGGACAACACATCCTTCCTGTAGGTACAACACAATGGTGTGTACTGGCCATGTATCTGGGACAACACAGCCTTCCTGTAGGTACAACACAATGGTGTGTACTGGCCATGTATCTGGGACAACACACCCTCCCTGTAGGTACAACACAATGGTGTGTACTGACCATGTATCTGGGACAACACACCCTTCCTGTAGGTACAACACAATGGTGTGTACTGGCCATGTATCTGGGACAACACAGCCTTCCTGTAGGTACAATACAATGGTGTGTACTGGCCATGTATCTGAGACAACACAGCCTTCCTGTAGGTACAACACAATGGTGTATACTGACCATGTATCTGAGACAACACACCCTTCCTGTCGGTACAACACAATGGTGTGTACTGACCATGTATCTGGGACAACACAGCCTTCCTGTAGGTACAACACAATGGTGTATACTGACCATGTATCTGAGACAACACACCCTTCCTGTCGGTACAACACAATGGTGTGTACTGACCATGTATCTGGGACAACACAGCCTTCCTGTAGATACAACACAATGGTGTGTACTGACCATGTATCTGGGACAACACACCCTTCCTGTAGGTACAACACAATGGGGGGAACTGACCATGTATCTGGGACAACACACCTTTCCTGTAGGTACAACACAATGGTGTGTACTGACCATGTATCTGGGACAACACACCCTTCCTGTCGGTACAACACAATGGTGTGTACTGACCATGTATCTGGGACAACACAGCCTTCCTGTAGGTACAACACAATGGTGTGTACTGACCATGTATCTGGGACAACACAGCCTTCCTGTAGGTACAACACAATGGTGTGTACTGACCATGTATCTGGGACAACACACCTTTCCTGTAGGTACAACACAATGGTGTGTACTGGCCATGTATCTGGGACAACACACCCTCCCTGTAGGTACAACACAATGGTGTGTACTGGCCATGTATCTAGGACAACACACCCTTCCTGTAGGTACAACACAATGGTGTGTACTGACCATGTATCTGGGACAACACACCCTTCCTGTAGGTACAACACAATGGTGTGTACTGACCATGTATCTGGGACAACACACCCTTCCTGTAGGTACAACACAATGGTGTGTACTGACCATGTATCTGGGACAACACACCCTTCTTGTAGGTACAACACAATGGTGTGTACTGACCATGTATCTGGGACAACACAGCCTTCCTGTAGGTACAACACAATGGTGTGTACTGACCATGTATCTGGGACAACACATCCTTCCTGTAGGTACAACACAATGGTGTGTACTGACCATGTATCTGGGACAACACACCTTTCCTGTAGGTACAACACAATGGTGTGTACTGACCATGTATCTGGAACATTTTCAAGAAACTCCAGAACAGAACACAGACATGCTGATCAATATATACTCCTCACAAAAAGTTAAGCAACACAAATGTTTAGTTTCATTACATTTCCATGTATTGAAATCGCAAATCATGAAATGATGCAATAGCAAGGTGAAACATATTACAAACAATTAACAAAATGAAATGAAATTGTATTGAGCAATAATAGACTTACAGACCGTAAACACGACTTTCAATAATGCCCCATGCATGTTCAATGGGATTCAGATCAAGTGACCTTGCAGGCCAGTCCATATGTGTGATGTTGTTGATCTAAACAACATCGTTTACAACTCTTTCTCAGGCATTAGTATCCATGGACAGGCATTATCATCCATAAAAATGTAGTTAGGACCTGCTTGTTGTACCAGAGGAATGATTACATTTAGGTTAACACCGATCAGGGTGCATGTGTGAAGAGTGGAGCACATTCATGACACACATTTTGCATGTTGTTTCTGAGGGTGGTTGTGTTCGGGTGATGTTGTCAATGTTATCAGATAAATCAATTTGACAGTCACTTAAGGTTATGGAGTCTTTGAACATTTACCTTTCAGTAACGTCGTCAAAAATCGCTATCGTGATTGATAAACATATAACACTGAAAATACTTGTTGCTTAATATTTTGTGAGGAGTATATCCAGGGCTAAAGAGTGAATAATAACAAAATTAGAGAGAATTCTATAAAAATAAGTTTACTAGTCTATCATAAAACGTTTGTACTGGAATAAAATATAATGTAC